TTTTTTTTTTTTTTTTTTTTTTTTTTTTTTTTTTTTTTTTTTTTTTTGCATTGTTGATCTTACATTTTTAAACTGTTTGGGAGAAGTCCTTTCTAGTGGAATTAATGGCTCGTTATCCGCTTGTCTAAGGAATCCATTTTAATTGTTTTTAAATACAAAGAATCTGTCGAGGGTCAGTTGCAGATTCCCATTTAGGCTACATTTCAAAATTCTGTTAATATAGCCAAATAAAATACCTTTTAAACTTTCAATTATGTAATATAGATTAAAAAAAAAATCATAAATTAAGTGAAGGTTAAAGAATCAATGTTAATGGAATCAGTACAATTCATTCTTGATGATGGTTTGTTTTTAAATAGTTCTAAAACGTTGTCCATTTAGATTTAGGCAGCAATATTTGTCATTGTCCTTAGAGTTTTGAAATATAGCCCTAATAGACACTGTTGAGATGGTCTGTCCTCATATCCTCAATTTGTCATACATATTCAAAAAATAATTTGAAGACTCTGAAGACAAAATGTTTGAAAACACGGCCGAGCGAGATGGCCTCGTGTTCTGCTAAAAACAGTCCAGGTCTTCATTCTGTGATCTGATTCTCTATAAACTGCATGCACAAAGTACACAAAGAAGGATTGGGACACAAATCTCCACATGGGTCTTCTCTTTCTACAGAGAAGGGATCCTGCAGCTCAATCCGAACTCTTGTACATATTTTAAAACATCCTAACTGTACTTATTCTGCCACTAGTATCTGTACCCTCTCCATAAAATGCATTATGCTACATGTGTAAGCTTGCCTAAATAGGTTACTAAATCTGTCCAAAAGATGTTTTGCAGCAGTTTGTCAATAAAGCTTAGTTTGTTTTTTATGAAACTTAACTTGCTTTATTTGTTTCCTGTCCTAGTAAAATTCTGAAATGGCCTTTTCTTAAACAACCTTCAGCAGTCAGATGCAGGTGTTTTCATTTGTTTCTCATTCAAAACCGCATTTTAAATCTAAATGAATGTATTGACGTCTGAAGACTTTAACCCTACTAAATGATGTCTTGATTGATTACCAAAAGAGCACAACTTATTCTTTCTCTCTCTTTCTATACTTTTTAAAAAGGACCCAGAGGTAAGACCTCTAAAATAACCTGGATAGCTTCCTAATGTGTATAGAGTTCTAAAGCATTGAATGCCTGGGTATGTATAAGACTTTTTCAATCCTCTTACCTGTGGTCGTAATCGTTAATGAGAATTGCTTTTATAGCTGAAAATTAACTGAGTTCAAACCACCATTCAGGTCTAGCCCTCATTGTCATGAGTGACGCTGGCGCGATGGCTACTTTAGTACAGAGTAATGGCAGTGCAATGGAGAGGATGGTTATAACCTAGACAACTCCACTGTAAAGGTAACCTAACCCTAAATGTTTAATTTCCTAGTGTGTTTATCCATTGACATAAACTTGCTGGTAAATGCGTACACTTTCTTAAAATATCATTACAGTCATGGCAACAAAAAAAGAATAGACCCAAAAGTAAGAAAAACGTAACTTCCAATATCATACAGTAGTGGATTTTATGTACCAAAATAACTGTTACTGTGTACTAACAAAATATATTAGAATAGTGTTAATGCAACTCTTGCTAAAATGAACAAAGCCAAATCTATGTCAATATCTTCTGCAGCGTTGAGCTGCTGTTACTTTCTTTATTTGCTGTGTAAAGGTTGCTTACTGTAATATTTAAAAGGTTCTGCTTGTACAAAGTTATCCGAAAAAAGAAAGCTTGAGTTGCATGAGCACATCTTCTCCTGTAGACATTGCATGATCTGTCTCAAGTTTCTCCCGGTGTTTTTAGACAGGGTATTGATTTGGGGTCTGTCCTTCCTTCAGGCACAGCTATCGGTCACGGAGTGCCCGGAGACTGACAGTCTGCAGAAGTGAAGACCATACAAACCTCAGGTTGGTTCGCCGCCGCATTTCTTTCCATTTTAAAGAGCCACACTGCTGGTTTTTTGCATCCTTCAGCCCATTAACGTACTGAACGTTACTTGCGTCTTGATTGATTTTTCTACATTCCAGGCATCCATTAGTTTGTGTGTTTGTAAAGACTTGAAACTCGCATGAAATGTGTAATCTATCACAGAAAACAAATCCAGCTTCTTTATTTAATTTCATTTGTCAAACATTCATTATTTTTGTAGCAAACAGAGCTCATTTTGGAATCCTGCCCTGTTGCCACGTTCATTGTTACCACACATCTTCGGAGGTTTGGCTCCAGACAGCAGCCATTTTAAAGGAATAGTTAAACATTTTGGGAAATTCGCTCTTGTCATGTAGAGTTAATATGACGCTTCAGCCTTCAGGACGATTTGACGTTCAACACGATATTGATTGGACAGAATAACAGCTACTACTACTACTACTTTCTCTTTGTTCTCTTGCTTTCTCTGTGCTTCACTGCATTGTTGTACTCTATCAAAAAAGTAACAACATGCTAGGCTACGTCTGATTTAGTGTATTTGTGGTTCTGTAAATGCAATTTATGGTGCTGTTAGATTGCTGCTAGACTGCCCCGTTAATACAGGTGCATGCAGGCGAGTAAACAGTATTCGATTGCAGTGAAAATGTTATTTTTTAAAAGGCTAAACGCCAACAAATACGGTTTGACGCTGACTATTTTGTTAGATATAAACTGTCAAATAAATTTTGACTTTTGGATTTAGAAAATTACAGAGACCGCCACGGCAAGAGAAGGTGGAAGCCGGTGAACTATTGCACGCTAAATTATTAAAAGTAATAATTTATATGTCAACGTTATGAATGAAGCTTCAAACTACTTCGTACAGCCCTAGAAATTACCCATGTAGCATGTAACAAAATCGGCTTCATGTGCACAAAAACTGATGCGCTAAAACGTTGGTCATTGTGTCCACAGTGCCGTGCCAGCGCTACAGAAAGGTGTGGCCCAACACATTATTATTCTGGTACAGGGGGAGAAAACGCTCTGGCTTGTTTGTATTTTCTTAAACCAATCACAGCCGTCTTGGGCGGCACTAAGCACAGGATGCAGCGACGGCGCCCTCGCAAATCAGATAGCGGAAGGGAGGAGAATGCCAATGCTAGCCTTATACCCACGCCTACGTTCAGTGAGTTAGACTAACACAGTCTGGGGTGGAGGTAACCAGTAACCACCGGTGACTTCCAGTATTCTCCTCTGATTGCCTGGCAACTGGTCCCAACCAGGAAATGGTCCGTCTCATACCTCCCTGTAAAACTGGCAATTGTTGTGTTGTTGTTTTCACACTTCACCACGTTACCTTTGGACAGATCCAAGCTAGAAGTTCCACTCTATTTCCAGTCTTTAAGCTAAGCTAACCGGCTACAGGTTGTAGCTTCATATTTGCTGATTTTAGTCCCTGCATGCAGCGCCAAATAAAAAAACTGACAAATCTTCCCCTGTCATGAAATAGCCATCTCAAGCTGTTATGTGAAGTATACACAGTGTATAGGTAATATCCATAAACATTCATAACCACTGGTATGGTCTTTTTAACTTCTTCCATTTCCCCCAAAAGACCATTGTGCACGAAACAT